GACGAAATTGACACGAGGGGCTCAGTTGCATGCGCAGACTTTAGCAGCAGTTCCCATGCAGCGAAATACACACGGTCCTGCCATTATTCTCTCGCGATCTCAATAATGACTTGCCTGCACGAAAGAGGGCAATGGCCACCCCCTACACTCTCGCGTCGTGTACACCTCTCCATAGTTTTGCCCGAACGAGTTTTTCCAGCCAGTTTTTTGTGTGTTCAGAGGAAATGCGAGGTTGGTGTTGCTGCGGCCGGTAGTTGTCGAGGAGGGTGAATGACACATCGTAGTGAGGAGTGAGTCTGCGGTCGCTGCTGTGCTGCGACTCCCTGTTCATCGCGATGCACTGGACACGGGAAGGACGGCTCGGAGTAGCCACTGTTTTAAACAACGGATTATTGTTTACAGTGTAGGCGGTAGAGAAGTCAGAGCAACACCGATCCTGACAGGTATTGTCCCACAGAACGGAGACGGATATTGTCCATTTTAACGTGTAATTATTTCGACATCGTGAATGTTTCAAATGGTTACTGATCTGGTCAGGTTTAAAATGCTTGTCTGGACAGACGCTTGGAAAATGAAATTCGATTGATGAGCGTCATATATACGGTGGAATTGTTTTAGCATAAAGCTGTGCGTCATAAAAGAAGGCGGAACCGTTTTCACATCCTATCGAAAAAGGTATAAAGTGTCTACTGTATTCCGTTGATGTTCCTACTGAACTCCTATAATATATTTGCGTCATAATTTGTTACAACCGATTTTAAGACCGTCAACCCTCTTTCTTTGCAATACGGGGACGATTATCTTCAATTTAAACCAATTTAGTCGCTCCACGTTTGTCGTTGCCTTCGCGAGAGCGACACAACTTGCCATAGGCGCGACCTTTTCTTAGCATTTAAAACAGATTCTACAACGTGCCAAGGCAGCAGGTCGATATGAATAATTAATATAGGTCGTACGATTACCAGCCAACCGCAGCTCGGAAATAGAATAATTGCTGGTTATGATCAACCTCCACTGTCGAAGACCGCGATTTTTTGACGCCCCGTGTAAAGGACGAGAGCATTCTTTGAGCATATTGCATGTGATTGCGTTGGATGTGACTACTACGTTCAGGGGTGCAGTGAAATTGACACGACCGCATTTTTCGGCATTGGCCGTAAAATTACATCATGATTGCTACTTCGAGGGAATGCACATGCGCAGACCGCTTTGTACGGCACGCGGCATTGCTATATACGGTTCGCCCTCATGCCCTAGCTCTCAGCGTCCTTCGTCGCGAGTATGTGCGCCATTGCTAGTATACTCTAGTGAATTATATGGTTCGCAGTTCGATTCCGCGCTCCCAACTCTTCATGCTATAGGTGTTCAGTTCAACCTTCTACATGCACTCATAAGCTTCGCCGCAGGTGTCTATGTACGTAATTATTGACAATACCTTGCGGCCGTCTGCCCATCCTACGGTCTACCAAGTCCCATCGATGTCTATGGATATCATCAAGAGCGTATTAAGAAGGCCTTCTTAATACGCTCTTGATATCATTGCTAGTGTTGCAGTGTGGCTGTCGGTTTAACCTTCGACTTTACAAGCTTCACCGCACGTGTCTATGTATATAATTGTTGATGATAATGCCTTAAGGTTCTCTGCCCATCCTCCCGTCACCAAGCCGCATCCTTGTTTATGTACGTATTATTTTTGATCTTGCTTTATGTGCTTGCCAGTTGACTGTGCAAGCCAACTATATGCCTTACCAGTTCAACGCCCGCTTGACGTAAGCATTTACCTGATATGTCAATCGGCAGAATATGTATGAGCGCTGTGATGTCGACGGCCGCTGATCTCGTAACAAAGATGCATAATGGACGATATTATAGACCTCCCGAGTTCTGGTTTTGCAGGTATTATTATCGGCTGCCACCCGCATATATGTTTGCTTTGTGATCAGATGTCCGGAAGCTGACACTCTGAAGGCGAGCAGGTATGATCCCTCCGCGATCCGTGACATTTCCACGAGTGAGCGTGATCAAAGGCGCATGCATTGAGGGAGGTGGGCTTGCCACTTGGTGCATGGATGTTAACCAAAGCTAGGAGAGCGCAAATAACTGGGATTGTTGCGATTTTGTATTCACGTTTCCCGTAATGCGGTTTCGTCTCAGTGGAATTCTGCCGCCGTTCGAAAATGGAATATATTTGCGGTTATGATTGTAAGGCGCAGCGATTTAACACTTCACATCGCGTTGTCAACGCGTTACATGCCACATACGCGCCCTAATGCATTGTCGACTAGTACGAATTTATTAGTAGAATCTATCAAAATATTCGCACTCTTTGCGCACTTGCGCATAGGATCAGCATAAACCTGTTCAAAACTAGTGCGTTGGCTTACTGCCACCGATTCACTTATTCAATAACGAGGAGTCACTGTGAAATGGCGCCGTGATTTCCCCCGCGGCGAATGTGTTGCTTTTAAACATCGAGGCCAACGATTTTTTAATCGTTCTAGCGCTAATCACCGCTCGCATGAAAATAAATTAAACGCTGCGTGGAATTCAATTTTACGCGCAGATTTTGTGGACGCCGATGCATGACAGCAAACGATCGTGATGGTTAACTTCGGCGTTGATGTTTTCTATTTTTGATGTATTGATGTATGTTTGATGTATTTTTAATGCACAGGTGTGCACGTGCGTGCGTTGCGTGCGTATGCGTACGTGCGTGCGTGCAGGTGGGCGTGCGCGTGTGGCTGCACTACTATGGTGTGGTTTGCGAAGCGGCTTTTTACGCACGCACCTGTACAGTCGCATAGAATGTTTACGGGACGCAACATTTTAGGCCGATTTGTTTCGGTGGTGATGCAACACTATTGTTTGGAGCTCTATCAATCTCTGTGTATAAGCCGCATAGTTATTGCACTAGTTTTGGCAGCTGGGATGTTTAGTGATTTACACCTTTATCGCCAATGATGGAACTTCCGCAAATAAGCTGGAGTTTACGTCTTCGCTATTTTCTCTATAACCAATTAACAGTATCGAGAATGCACCACTAACTGACATATTGTAATGGTATAACTTTGGTAGTTTTATTAACATTGTCTTGTCAGATAATTCAATATTTAAAATGTTATGTTATGTCGTTTTTGTGATTATTGTAAATAGGTATTAATGATCAGTTCTAATAATAAATTACAAACTCTTGATAACGTATGTATTTCCGAATCAATTGCTGGGATTACACGAGTAAAAAAGAGTAGCTCACACAAAAATCCACGAGTACCGTTTATTGCAAATCCTTTAGCTAAATAGTCGGCTCAACTCTCGCAAATGGCCAGCAATTACTCGGTTTACTAGCGATAACCCCAGTACAACAATCATCCATAATGCAGTGTGATCGTCATGCTGACTCGACATCTTTCTCCTCCCAAGATGCACCAGTGCTCACCTTTCCACCTCACCCTTACCGTTCCATCTACTGCCTTAACGTGCCCCGTGACATCTTGGCCCGCCCTCGAAAATCGCTGCGAAGGAACAGTTTAATAAGTTGATGCTGAATGCGTAATGACAGCGTGAAAGGATCGATTTTCGGTGGGCGGAGACGACGTCTAACCTTCCGTGTCCGCCCCCGCTGAATCATGCTATAGACTGATTAGGTCATGCCATACAGTTGAAACCTTTCAGGGATAAAGTAGGGTTTTTAGTGGAAAAAATAAGCGCACGAGGGGGTCAATTAGTGAGGCTGACCTGTTTCGTTTCACGGATCACTACGACGATGAATTTTATTTTTTCTCTCACTCTCTCTCTCTCTCACTCTCTCTCTCACTCTCCCTCTCTCACCCCCCTCTCTGCTGCACGCGCGCACTCTCACTATTACATACACTCTCCCTCCGTCACTCCCGTTATCTCGCTCTGTCCCGCTCGAATTATCTCTCTCTCCCTTTCTTTCTTCTGCTCTCTCTCTCTCTCTCTCTCTCTCTCTCTCTCTCTCTCTCTCTCTCTCTCTCTCTCTCTCTTCTCTCTTCTTTCTCTCTCCTCCTCCTCCTCGCATTTTCTCTCTCTCTCTTTCTCGCTCGCTCGCTGGATGCTCGCTCACACTTCGTTCTCATAGACGGTTGATTAATTTGGCACAGGTGCGCGTTATTGATGTTCAGGCTAAAGGTGTGCAATTATCAAGATACATCGGATCAATTATCAAATATCAAAATCTCAAGCTAGACAGAATTGACGTTCGGTGGCTTGTGATACACAACTCATATTGGAAAACGTTACCGTATTAAAGCCGCGTTATTAAAGTCTATCGATGAGCACGTGATCTCGAGGAGATAAACACGTGACACTGGGTGCATTCGTCGACTGCCTTCACCGTCATCTGATCCCTTGATATAGCTAGTGTAGTTGGAATGTTCAGTGACAAAAAAATTATTAGCATTATGCATATTTATGAGCTGTGCATATAATTTGTCGTGTGTAGTGTAGAATTATAAATCCATAGGTGATTTCGTATCTTGTGTCAAATTGTGAAGTGTATAGGCTGATCATCATCGTAACAATTCTGATAGTACTGACTGAGACTCATTCAGTAGTGACCCGCATGATGTTCATCTCTTTCAAATATCAATACGACATTAGACATATTGATTCTATAAATGCATTTGAGTATATATAATCATCAGTGCACTATTTTCTACTCGCACCTTCGTATTTGTTTGCCGTCGTTGTTATCCTTGTCAAAGAGTCTAAATGGGAACCCTGCGTGCGTTATTCTATCGGTGGTCAGGACGAATCCCGCTACAGTCAAGTCATAGTGATGCGCCTCCTCCTAATATCTGATAATCCCCTCTAAAGGCGGGCGAAGGGCATGCACCGCTATACTTATGTATAACATAAACGACATGAATTTGAAAGGAACCCCAACAGACAATCCTTCAAATGTAGTAACGTGCGTCCACACCCGCTGTTCGACTAGCGATAACATTCTGACGACGCCCTATCTCCGCTGTTTGCTTCAGGTGTTTGGGGGCTTCTTCTCTGGCATCGGCTTGTACGCGTTCGCCGACAAAGGCAAGGCGATCGGCGACGCGCTGGACGTGCTTCTAGATCCGGCCATCCCGATGATGATCGCTGGTGCCATCATGTTCATCGTGTCCTTCCTCGGCTGCATGGGCTCACTGCGGGAGAACGTCTGCTTGCTCAAATCCGTAAGTATGTGCGTGCGTGCGTGTGTGTGTGTGTGTGTGTGTGTGTGTGTGTGTGTGTGTGTGTGTGTGCGTGCGTGCGTACGTGCGTGCGTGCGTGCGTGGGTATTGCGCGTTGATATTATATATTCCTACGAGCAATGGCAGTAGTGATGTGAGTTTTAGATAAATATCTCCGCTGATACCTGATCAGGCAGGAGGTAATTACACGTAAATACGTTGACCGAGAGCCGTCAACTCTCTAAATAACCACATTGGCCGAAAACCGCGCCCACTCTACGTGTAAACACGGGTAACTATTTTGCCAAATAATCGGCTACTCTACAGATAAATACAGGCAAACACTGTGACTGGCAGTCACCCACTCTAGCTGCGTGGTAAATACAGGTAAATGATTAAGCTGATATAACCGGCTATTTAGCAGTAAAATACCGCAAATTGTTTGGTTAAATGCGACCCACTCGGCCGGTAAATAAAAGAACTAATACAAAGCGTCCATCACAGACGTTACTCGACTAGCTAAATAATCTCACACAGGCAACGTTCACACGCTCGACTCCTCCTCGCACACGTACAAGCTAATTACATCACCGATTATCACACTCGATATCGGCATCAGCAGGTTCACACAGCCCAACCTCTCACACTTTAGCGTGCGCTTCGTGCGCTGCGCTTGTCGTCGTCGTCGTCGTCTTGAGGCACACCTAGAACCCGGAGGCTCTAGTCAGTGTCAGGACCCGGTCTGACGATCTTCCCAATTCCTCTAGCGAAACATCTACAGTGCTGCGGTGGTCGCGACGCACGCGTGGTTCTCATTCGTTGTTCTCTCGTCGCCGTTGCAGTACGCCTACATCATGATCTTCATCTTTCTGTCGACGGTCATGCTCGGCGCGCTCATCTTCATCCTGTTCTTCTCGGACGCACGCAGCTCGAGCCTGACGCCGGACAACCTGCTGCGCAAGGCCATCGTCAAGTATCGCGACGATGAGGACCTGCAGGATCTCATCGATGCCATGCAGACCAAGGCAAGCTTGCATTTAGTTGTGGGTAGAGAAAGACAAGCTTGCATCTAGTTGTGGGGTAGAGAAAGACAAGGTTGCATTTACTTGTAGGGTAGATTGCGGCAAGGTTACATTTACTTGTAGGGTAGAGGAGGTAAGGTTGCATTTACTTGTAGGGTAGAGGAGATAAGGTTACATTTACTTGTAGGGTAGAGGAGATAAGGTTGCATTTACTTGTAAGGTAGAGGATGGCAATGTTGCATTTACGTCTAAGGTAGAGGAGGCAAGGTTGCATTTACTTGAAAGGTAGAGGAAGGCGGGTTGCATTTACGTGAATGTCAGAGGGAGGCAAGTTGTATTTTCTTGTAGGTAAGAGGAAGGCGCGTTGTATTACGTTGTAAATGATGAAATTCTTTTGTTGAAGAGTGGCGTGCCTGGAATGTAAAGTCAATGGCGAACATTGCGATGATAGCTGCGCGAAATTTATTTGTGATCAGGTCCGAGAGATGGTACTGTTTTTTATCCTAAACTGTGCATAATGCCAGGATTACTGGTGGAACGTCTCATCATCCTCGGCGAGACGGAGCGTTAGTTCCTACAGAATGAGAGCGATAATTTCGTTTACACTACAGTACTGTGTGCGAATTTAATGTTGCCATCGGGGACGTTTTTATCTTACAGTTCCAGTGCTGTGGCGTGGGTCCGAACGGGTTCCGGGATTGGAATATCAACCCATATTTCAACTGCTCCGGTGTAAACCTAAGCGTAGAAAAATGCGGAGTGCCGTACTCTTGCTGTCGACATAAAGAGGTAAGACAGCCTGACTATGCCTAATAATAGCGAAGGGGTGATAAGTGAATAGGGAATAATAGGGAACAGGTCACAAGTGTTAGAGATGCAGAGAGAGGGGAAAATAAAGGGGAGGGAGAGAGAGTGAGCGACTCAGACAGATCAAGAGAGAGAGGGGGGAGAGACTATGTCTAATAATAGCGAAGGGGTGATAAGTGAATAAGGAATAAAATGGAACAGGTCACATGTGTGAGGGATGCAGAGAGAGAGAGAGAGAGAGAGAGAGAGAGAGAGAGAGAGAGAGAGAGAGCGAGAGAGAGAAAGAGAGGAAGAGAGAGGTGGGTAAAGAGGGCGAGGCCTTTAGATGTTTCTAAATTATGAAAGGATTCGTCACACCTGCCTGTGTGCATTCTTGTTCGGGGATGTGTACACTGCATTGTGTCTTTTCCACAGAATGAAATGATAAACGTGATGTGTGGGTTTCACACTACAGACAGACTAGTAAGTATTTCGTCACGGCTCTCAATGCACAGCTGTCGGGCTGTTAACCCCAAAGGCTGTTCGGTGATATGTAGATTTTAATGAGCCTCGTAGAATTTGTACCGGCGCCCGTAGTGTCATTAATGCATCATATAAGGCCACAGCTGTACTCTCAGCGTATTTCATCAGCGATAGCACATAACACATATGGCCCAATAATCAGGCTCGAATATTAATTGTCTGCTCGGAAATGGGAAATTCCCGGTGGTATTGATTAGAAAGTTCCTTCATGGCTGTGTACGGAAACAATAATATACGCGGTGTTGTACAGTTCTCAAAACTATTTGCGAGTAAGATGGCTTTATTATATCATTACATTTCTCGGAGGCAGCTTCCCAACATGCGTAGTTGATAAAATAAAGCAAAATCACATTAAATTCGTTGCTCTAAGTTTCCACTATGAAGATATTATGATGAGGAATTAAAATGCTTTTTGTATCATGTCGGTAGGTAATATACGTATAACTAATGATTGCACGCTTACACATCAGCTGTATTCTTTAAAATTGTTGATACAGGAGCTCGAGGTGCGAGATAAGATATACACGGATGGTTGCTACCCTGTGATAATGCAGTGGATGGAATCCAATGCTCTCATATTTGGAGGATGTGCATTTGGCATCATCATTCCTATGGTAAGCACAGAAAGAAACGACGCGGGCCGGTGGTATATAATGATTGGCTCATTCTGATAATGATCATAATGATCATAATGATTGGTTCATTCTATTTCTTGTATACCTATTATACTAACGCCCACGGTGTGCATCTAACAGGAGATTTAACCCAAACATTCTCGCGTGATAAGCAAATGGCGTTTCGTTGGGCGAAGCCTGTTTGACTATTCTATGAGCCAAACAGAAAAGAAAATGGTTGCAACGTTTACAAAGAAGGCTTTCCAAGCTTTCCATTTGTCATGATGCATAGTTTCTACTGGATACTACGTATTGTTGTTCTTATGTTTCTAGCTTCTCGGCATATTTCTGTCACTTCGCCTCGTAACGCAAATTCAGGACCAGCGAGCAAGGTGGAAATACAGATAGAAGTTCGCCACCAGGGTGCGCCAAACTACAGCATCTGCTCGCGACACTGGGCAGGGCGAATGTATCGCTCTTGATGTCTTCAGTGTGTTTATGCTATATTCGTAGCTGCTTATACAGACACTGCTTATTCATAGGTGAGCGTCTCTTGGCGCTTCTTGATAAGTAGGTGTTTATGCTCATAAATATCACTCGCTCTTTTGGTTTAGACATCCCGGGCACTATTGCGTTTAGCGCAGCTGAACGTGATGTGCCGAAGAGCGCAGAGAGAACAGTTGTAAAACCTTGCGTACGTTCTCGCGAGGTGGCGCAATCTGTTTAAATTTTCAACGTGCACATGTATGTACACATATTATCATAGACCGCTAAGCGTGCGCGAGGACGAAGAGGAAAAGCAAAAGCTGTGATAATAAGCATTACAATTCATTGGCTGTGCAAAATTTGATGTCCCCTGAAAAAGAGAGAACCCCTGTCAATGATATTATGACAAATAATAATGCGTGTAGATCCTTAGCAGTAGTTGACTTGTGTGTAGCACAGAATAATCTGATTCATAATAGCACGTGCTGTTAATCTTTTGAACCTTCCTGGCTGACTGCGGCTCGTAATTCGTTTAGCTAGCAATGATTTTGGTTTATATGTGCTCTAATAACTATGCCTTTCTTAAAAAATGTACTCCCCTCGTTAATGTTAGAAATTCGCTCTCTTCTCGGCAGCACATGATCAGCTACTTTATTTTAGTTTAGTTAGAATTTTATTTTACATTATTTTAGGCTTATTTTACGCTATTCGGGAGCTTTTTTATCCGTATACGCTTGAATGCTTAAATTTGTTTCGCTTTTTATTTGGTTTTATTTGTAGCAAGCCAGTCTGTGAAACTATTGTGATAAAAATTAGAATCATATGAAAGTTGAATCATATAGCTAGAGCATGGTTAATATGATAACGTCAGTAGCACATAAACAATGCATGTGCTCTTGGTAACGTCAGTAAAAAATAAATTCTATACGGGCTCATTTTTGCACGCGTGAATTTGGCGTAATATCGTTGTATATGTGTGCGTAGATACATAGTAGCACCTATTTAATTCGGATAAACTGGTAAAAATGGTCTCAAATGAAGCGACGATGTTTTACCAAGTTTTCAGCGTTGTCTTTCATGTGCTATAGCCAGTAATGCTAGTGTACAATATTGTTCGTGTGGTGTTATGTAGCCTATTCGAGTTTTGCGCATGAAGTAACCAGACTGCATCGCGCGTTTGCTCTCTAGCCATTCAGCTGGTGCAGAATTTTTCTATATCACTGTATGAGACGAGATATTTCTGGAGAAAAACAATAAAACTGAAGTTGAATGCCACATGCAACGAATCGTCTACGTGTAGGACGTGACAAGGCAACATCAGTTAACGTTATCACGCTTCTGCTCAATGTTTACTGGCATACTGCAAATCTTTTAATGAGTGAAATCTCACTATAAAAGTACCTTATATATCTGTATCTCGACGACCAAACTTGTCACTAATGGATGTATAGTTGTCATGCATCCCTACATGTGCGGTTTAGTCATTGCTTAGCTAAGTAAATTTTGCTGTTCTAGTGATATTTGATTGTATATAACGTGTAAATAATAAATGTCATTTATCACTCGGTTGTATGTAGGCATCAGTAAAATAAAGATATATAATAATGAAACATTCATTGGACTTTTCTTATCGTGAATATCTAGGTCCGTATAAAAGCGTGCGTGCGTGCGTGCGTGCGTGCGTGCGTGCGTGCGTGCGTGCGTGTTGATAGATGGATAGCGTTTCGTGTGTAGGAACCACAATGCACCAGCTTGTTAGCCTACACTCGACTACATTGCCTACTCACATGCACGCACGCACGTACGCACACACGCACACCACGCAGACACGCACGCACGTATGTACACACAGAGTTTCCCGGAAACATAGGACTTTGTTTATGACATTGGTCGGTGTGTACACAGCTAATGAGCACGAAGAATGTAAACACTCGCGCGTGTGGGCAACTAACCGCTTCGCCACCCTGCGGCAACACATGAATGTAAAGCAGTAGCAGCGGAAGGTACCCGTTGCCTATCTGTCAGCCTGCACCATAGAGATCTCGCTGCCACCGTCCTCAGGGACCGGATGGTCCGTATACTGCTGACTATCAATCCTTTGTCCTAAGACAACGCACGCTCTGTGCCTACCCGCCCGCCTGTACGCGCGCCCCACACACATACACGACAACAGCGAGGTTATTGTGAATATTGACGGGTATGTACTTTATTGTCATGGCGATTACATAACCATTCGCAGGCATGTGAAGTCTGCACTCCAGAACTCTGCAGAACGGTCCGTACAGTGAAACAACCACACGCACAAACAGTGCAGCAATAATATATGGATCTATCTTGACTACACTCGATCACAACTATCGTGTTATGAAGCCTAGTTTATAATATATATATATATATGCGTGCGTGTCACTATATGTGCGCGTGTGTACGTATACGTGCGTGCGCGTGCGTTAGTGCGTTCGGGTGTGTTTGTGTGCGTGTGCGTTCATGCGTGTGTGTGTGTGCGTGCGTGTTCGTGTGCGCGCGCGCGTGTGTGTGTGTGCGTGCACGCGCATGCGTTTTGTGTTATATGTGTCTATGTTCTATATGTTATATATATTTATGTTCCATATGCTATATG